TAGTTGTCAATGTAAGTGGATTTTTTTTTTTTTTTTTTTTTTGTGGGACCCTCACGGGTGGCCAGGAACAAACCGGCGCTGCAGAGGCTGCGGGCAGCCTCGCAGCCCAGCGCTCAACCACTGCACCACCAGGGGAGGCCCTGTAAGTGGATTTTTTTTTAATGTTGATGGAAACATACAGGCTAATGATCAAGCATAGCCAGATTAATTAACTCTGGAGTTATAGCTTCAAAAGTGCCTCCATTAGTCTCCTCTTAAAAACACACTGATTCATTGATGTTTTCACAAAGCTAGTTCTCAGCATCTTTGCCATCATTTAAAATATTTTCATTGGGCCTCCTCTGGTGGCGCAGCGGTTGAGCACTGGGCTGCAAAGCTGCCCACAGCCTCTGCAACGCCCGTTCAATCCCTGGCCCCCAGAGAGGGTCCCACATGACGCGACAGACCTCTCCTGCCGCACCCGCTGCTCCCTTCAGCAGCGTATTTCGTCAGTCTGCCTGCTCTGCTCCCCGCTCTGGGCTCTGGTGAATTCTCTCACCTTCCCGCGCTTCTGACTGTACCCAGTGCTTGTATAAATAAATAAATATCTTTAAAAATAAATAAATAAATAAATAAAGTACATTTTCATTATGGGACAAGTCTTCAATAATGCCACGGATGGTCCACTGTCAGATGTCAGCTGTTTGGCAGCTATACTAATATCCACCACCACGAAACAGTGCCACCGTCACCCAGAGCAACGACCAATCAGAAGACCCACAATGCAGAGGCTGTTCTAGAAAAATCTATGGCAGTGCTGTATTTTTAAAAATCAACTGCTTCCAGAAGAGTAGTAATTTTCCAATCTATCCATTAAAGTTGAGTTTCAGGCTGGTTGTTTTTAATTGTAAGAGACGGACACACACATTTCCTTAACATATACTAAAAAAGCACCTGCTAGAGAATTATGTGATTAGATTACTCATGTGAAGAAGAATCTTTGTCTGTAAACTAGTGGTAGAATTTAAAGTTGAAAGGCATTTTCATAACACCAAAGTTAAAAATCCATAGGCTGCACTATGTAAAAGTCCTCCCCTCTTTTTAAGAAGGTACCTGCAAAATATTCACTGAACAAGGAAATTGCTAAAATTCAAGAAATTAAAACATACTGTCGTAGAGGTTTCTAGTAGTTTTGTCTTTGTTACAAATGTTTAGTAATTCTGGTTAGATGCAAATAGAACCTGGTAAGAGATCTGACATCTCTTTTGGTGGCTGATAATTGAGTGGTGTTTGCAGTTTTGTCTTCCATGCCAGTACCTATGTCTACTGCCTCAGTCACAGAAAGCACTGAAATGAATAAAGATACATTGATCTTCTTATGGCACTTACGTACCTATAAATGCACAGACCTCCCACATGGCACCTATAAGCCAACACATACACACACACACACACACACAGTGCATATATAGTACATTATATGTGGGAGTATATAAATGGTACGTGTCCATGGTATCTATAGCCGTATAAGCACATGGTATTCCTATATGTCCTTTTATACATAATTTATATACATATGGGTGAATTTTCATGCAATAATGTTAAACTGAAATTTGGCTCTTTTATAGTAAGAGCCTCCCCTCCTTGGCAAGCTGTATTTGCAGCTTGGACACGTTTGGCCTGTGTAGACATCTGAATCTCAATCCCTTAATCTGAGAGGGTCTCTGCGGCACCAATGACTTTGAACTGCAACAATGACTATTGTTGGTTCAAGTTGTGAATCTGAATTCTTAATGAAGAGGGGGAATGTCACAAACACCTCTTTTCGGCTTTCAATATGACATGACTTCAGGAATGAGCATATTGATGAGTTTGCCTGGTTGGTGAGGACACGCTGATCTGGTCAGAACTTCCATAATCTTCCAAGTTTCCAGGCCCTGTTTAGTTCTAGCCAAAATTTACTCTGGTCCCCAAGGACCCAGGTCCCAGTTCAGTCTGCCATGGGACAGGACATGTGGGTCGGCACATATATCTGTTCTAAACAGGCCACAAATCAGCTCTCCTATTTCCTTACTGACTTACTCTACAGTATTTTAAGATAAGCAGAAAAGCACAAAGATTATATAGAATGAATTATTCCTTACTTGTGTCCCATTCCACTTATTCTTAGCAGCCATCATGATGTATTATTCATAATAATTTATGTGTATGTCTCCCTGTATAGACTCAAAGTCCATGCTGGCAATAAATCATTGTTTATGAAACATTATTCATTAATCTTCACATCATCATCATCTAGAGCAGTGACTGGCACAGAATAGAAGTCACTGCTCATTCTGTGCAAATGAATAAAAGGGAAACAGGTATTTTGATGAACAAATCTTGTTCCAAATTGAAATAATTCTGTGCTTTCACAAGTAGAAATTTTCATAAAAATTCTCTATAGATTTATCACTTGTATATGAATCAAAACCAGCTATCCCATTACAGTGGCTTATGAATCCCTATGATAGAATCTGTGATCATTGACCATAACATGGAACTTTAGATATCTGCATTGCCAAGTCAGGGAACACTAACGCAATTTACTCCTATATTTTCAATAAATGTCAGAATAGCAAAGAATAAGAAAAGGTGACATGAAATTGAATTTTTCTGGCCATTTAGCTTCAGAGATCATATGAGCATAAACTCCTTATATAAATTAAAAATATGAACTTATAAAACTCATCATTAACTCAAAGAATTGAGTGAAAAAATAGAATTGTATATGAAAATACTATAGCTACTTTAATCAAAGTAGAAATAAAATGTATATATTTACAGAATATTGACATTAAAACACCCAAATGACAACTACCACTAAGCAAATATTAAAAAATCTCCCAACTACTTATCAAAAACAATCCCATCTATAACAGTAACTCTATCATTAACTTTAGGATAAAATAATTTTGAAACAAGCTACATTTTCCAAGTCAATTCTAAATAATTCTAGTTTTAGCATTTATGTTATAGACTATCAAAGTTATTTGCAACATGATGCACATTGACTCAAAAATAATTTTTTGAAACTAACTAAAGAAGAAGCCAGAGAACAGTAACTTCAGCTGAATTTAAATGTTTCTGCAGATACTTACCTACTTACCAGCAAACGGTCTTTATAGTGCAGCTCAAACTAATGGGAAATATTCTTAGGAAAGTAAGATCAATTGCTTGGAAAACACTGAGACAAAGCTATCCCGGGAAATCAAATCCATAGGGGCCTATTTATTACTTCACTTTGCCTACCTTTTAGAAAAGTGTGAAACTGTCACATTTATCACAGTCTAACATTTTCATACAAAATCTGTGGCCCACTATTTTCATATACATGAACGAAATGATTTTCATCCCAACGGGAAAAAGGGCAAACTGTCTGCCATCAGAGAGCAGGAAAAGACACCTGCAGAGGGCAGGGGAGGGGGAACAGCAGGGCGCCCCAGAAGCCTCATACCTTGCTGGGGCCTCGCAGGTCGCTCTGTGATGTCGTCAAGCCCAGGCCAGTGGTGCTTCCTCTCCGTTTCCCTCCCAGGAGCTCTTCCATCTCTTTCACCTGGACCTTCAGCCTTTGATTTTCTCTCTCCAGCCCTTGTTTTTCTGTTTCAAACATCTCCCTCTGGTTCCACTCCGAGGTCTTTTCAGCCTGCAGTCTCTCTGGCTAAATGAAGGGAACACAGAGAAGCAGCTGGTCACATCTGTAATTGCAAAAGCTAAGGCACCCACAAGCAGGCCCCCCAAGACAGGTCCACGGGGTTCTGGCTCAGGACGTCAAGCTGTGCGCATAGGCAGATCCTCAGCTCTGTCCTCCCAGGACACACCCAAAGCCCAGAGACTTAAGAACACTCCTTCCTTCCCTCACCAGCCCCTTCCTTCCTTTTTATGTGATAACATTAGTTTACGACATGACATAGGTGTCAGGTGTACAGTTTCTCTCCTCAGCAGCTGTACATAACACCTCTCACCCACACCAGAGTTCCAGTCACCGTCCACCATCAACCATTCTGCCCCCTGGACCGAGTCCACCCCACCCACACCCCATGGAAACCATCACTCTGCTGTTGGAGTCTAAGGGTTTGTTGTTATTTGGTTTGATCTTTGCTTTGTTTCCTTAATTTCTGCAAATGAGTGAGGTCACAGGCTACTGTCATCTTCTGACTTCTTTCATGCACCATAATCCCCTCAAGGCCCGTCCTATGTACGGAACAGTTTTCTCTGGGGATAAAAAAAAAAAAAAAAAAAAAAAAAACAAAACCCAAAGTCTAGCAGAGCAACTTCTGCATATTGGCAAGAGGAAACCCATGTCCAGGTGAAGGTGGCAGAGCAACTTCTGCATATTGGCAAGAGGAAACCCATGTCCAGGTGAAGGCGGCAGTGGAGGCTGAGACAGTCTCACAAACATTCACACGCACACCCTGGCTCAGCCACCACAGTCAGGAGGGAGCTGACAGCCCTGAGCTGCTTCCTGGGGACCAAGGACTCCAACCCCACCATGGTCCCCCCATCTCTCAAGATCTGCACTTAAGGAAAAAGCAATTTAGGGGCCTCGCTGGTGGTGCAGCGGTTAAGGTCAGCGCAATCAAGTTATTGGCATCTACTGTGGCATGAGTCCGATCCTGGGCCAGGGGTGACCCACATGGCACAACAGACCTCTCCGGTCAGGCCACTGCTCCCCTCAGCAGTACATTTTAGCAGATCCACCTGTCCTGCTCCCCGCTCTGACTCTGGTGAATCCTCTCACCCCCTGCACCTCTGGCCTGCACCCCAGCTCTTATATACATAAACAAATAAATCTTTTTTTTAAAAAGGGAAAAAGCAATTTAGTCAACAAGATAAACATTACACTTCAATAATATCTTTGGAAACAAATTTAGATTAAAAGTGTTTAAAACTGCTACTTCACATACATATGGTTGTACCATTATTGGAGAAAATGTTCTGTCCTGCATCTAAATGAGGCCGTTGCTTCTAAAGAACAGGAAACCAAAATGACATTCTTGGCACTAAATCCTTTTTATCAATTAAATATAATAAACTGAGGGAGTATACATTAGATGATGTGGTTTGACAGCCGGGGTGTCTGTTGAGGATATGAAGTGAAACGTGTTTCTTGATCCAATTTGGAAATGACATTACTTTAATTTTTAAGATTAATGCTTAAACATTTTGACCATCATCACATCACTTATCAGAATAAAAATAATAAAGCTGTAACAAAAAGTCACCGGCTTAGTGATGAAAAATTAATTTTAGGAGAAAAATGTAATTTTGTCCAAGGGCAAATATAATGCATTAAATGCCAAGTCTTTGTAAATTTGGAGATACTTAAATTTTATACCTAATAACTGATAACCGATAGACTGAGGCTTTAAGTAAGTAATGGATGGCATGAATGAACACATTCTAAATCTTTAACACAATAATTAAAAGAAGGAATGATTTTAACAGCAGTAAAATGAAACTTAAACAATTATGTCTAATTATATACTAGTTGCAGCTATTTGCTTGATCCACCAATTGTCTAACAAATGTATATGTCCAACACATCAAAAAGAAAAAATTCTATAACAATTAGAATATCATAAAAATTAAAAGAAGTTTCATTTTTGTTTCCATTTTGCAAATCTCTGTTGTCAGTGTATTCTTTTCCAAGAATCATATGAAAATCCACCACCTTGAAAGTCGTTCAATTGAATGCAGATTAAAATAATGAAGGAAAAACTCTGTTACCATGTTGGCTTTCAGAGTTTATAGCAAGCAAATCTAATACTATTATCAAATTACAATGGATTCCCATTGATTTGCATGCAGTGATTAAGAGAAAATCCTAAAATATTTTAATCCTAACTCTAATGTACTGTGAATTTTAACTAAAGTAGGTTTTAGTGTTAAAAGAATTTCAAATAATATAGGAATTATTGAAATTATCTTCTAAATTTTTTTTTGCAATTGTAATCTGCTTTATTTTTTTTTTTAATAATAAATTTTATTTTTATATTCCCCCATACAATTGCAAACGCCCCATTCTGACCCCAATCCTTCCCCTCCGCCCCCCACCCCCCAAAAAGTGTCTCTGGTTCATAGTTTTTTGTTGATTTTGATTTTCACTTTCTTATATTCATTTTCCTGGTCCCTTATTTAAGTTTTCTAAAAGTAAAAGTATATTCTAATCAGAGCTCACTGAAATATTTGTGAATTTAATGACTTTTAATTTTATGCATAATGAACACTGAAAAAAAATACATAATGGCTAACCAGTTATCTGTTTAACAAATATTTACTCAGTTTCTTGTATATGTCAGGCACTAAAGAGGCACCAATATCCTACTTTCAAAATACAAATAACTATGTAAGTACCAAGCAGGTGGTAGTTCATGAAGGAGAACCCCCTGGGTACTGAGAACCACCTGCAAAATTAGGCAATCAGAGGAGGTTACCTGAAGAAAAACATTATTTAAGCCGAAACCTGAAGCTTAAGAGGGTAGCGAAGCAGAATCAAGGCAAAAGTGTCCCAATAAAAGAAGCGGGAAATAGGCTTTTGCATTAGAAGAGCCAAGAGTTGAAGCATAAAGTAGCAGGATTTGGAGAGAATATGATATGAAAGGAAATTGGACAAGCAATCCTGGTTCTCAAAAGTAAGTATAAATATAAGGCTCACTTGAGTTGCTTGTGGAAAATGTAGTATTGTGATTACCCCTAAGGAGAGAATAATGGATCATTTCAAGCATGTTCCTCTATGAATTCTATCTTCATCAGTGGTCATTGCATGAGACTGTGTAAAGGACACGCCAAGATTCTAATCAATACCATAACTAGAATGTTTAAGTCTTGTCGAAATCTTAACTGCTTTGTCATTTTGCTCTTAAACATGGCACCTGGCACAGATATGAAAATGTTCCAGCAATACCTGTGGAAGGAAGGAATCTCCTCTACGAGAAAGTGTCCCCCTATTTCGATTACAACAATTACACACAAAGTGAAATTAGCACAGCAAATTAGAAGAACCAATATTTACTGTACCATTAACTAACACCAAAGGATTTCTCGGTACATTTATTCTGAACTCTTACTACCCTTGTCATAGTTCCATCACATTCTGTAGTTGGAGAGTGCAGTGAGATCAAGGATTTTCAGCAAAATGACCTGGAGTTATAAGGGCTGATAGATTCCAAATTCTTTTGACTCTGAGACTCTCCACTTTCCATTTATAAAACATGGAAATTATTCCTTAAAACCTGATATAATGTTGTGAGGCAGAAATTAATTATTTAGGGGAAATTTTATTAACTTTTCAAACTTAACCCAACTATTTCTTGTCATAATTTTGTTTTCTAAAGAACAATCTATCTCAACAGTCAATTCAAATATGACAGATCAAAGAGTGTGTTAAATTTTTAAGATGATAATCATTTTGCAAATGGACCTTGTCCACTAAAAAAACCCAACTAGAAAGCACAACATGCCTTTCTGCCTGTCAGAGAAGTCACCCAAGACCAGTGTCGATGTTCCAATAATAGATCTGAAATATTCAAAATTGTTTTTTCAGACAAGTCAACCATAAATTCTCATTATCAATACTGTTATTTTGGAGGTCAGAAGTGAAGAGCAGGATGTCTGTGATCCTACTAGTAAGAGGTCATTCCCCATTTACTGAAGACCTCATTTATTTCTGGCAAAGAGCTCTACATTTCCCACCAGGAGGAAACTGACGCCTAAGAGTTGAAGTCACCCTCAAAGTGGGCAGAGCCCATGGCGTGGTTCTCCTCGAGTTTATCCAATTCCAGTTCTGAGTTCTTTCCCCAGATACCTGCTGGCAGACAGCCAACTAATGAATGCATAGTCCTTACAGTAGCTCGGGGCTGACACCATTGTACTACACCACAGCAAGGCTGTCATTATGCTTTGTTTGGTTTGGGTTTATTAGGGATTGGGTTCTTGTTTTGTCTCTACCAGCATACCAATTTAGAGGAGAGGAGATTTCTGTAGACTCACATTCAAAATTCATGCCTAAATGCAGTCTGAATATTATTGATATCACCCCTGGATCTTTTAACATTCTTACTCTAACCTTGGGTTAGAATCACAAATAAGAATTGAAGAAACTCCCTCCTAAATCAAATGCTGTCCATTGTTCAATAGAACTCAGTGAGAGCTCATTTTCTCTTTTACCAAAAGTCAACAGAACTATGAATGATGTTAGTAATGTGTAATGTCATATATGTTTTTGTTATTTTAAATCAATGGAACACTTCTCAAAGCAAAGGTTCCCAGAAATAATTTGAAACAAAATACGTGCAGAAGTTAAGTAAAAGAAGAGGGAGCTGCATGCAAAAATAAACTTAATCCAAACACAGATCTTCCACACTTAGCAAAAATTAAATAAAAAATGGATGACAGACTTAAATGTAAAAGGCAAAGCTATAAAACTCTTAGAAGATGGATAACAGAGGAGGAAATCTTGATGCCCTCAGGTTTGGTGATAACTTTTTAGATACATAATCAAAGGCATGATTCATGGAAGAAATAATTGATAACCTAGTTTCATGAAGATTAAAAACCTTGGCTTTGTGAAAGACAATGTCAAGGCAATGACAAAAAAAGCTGAAGATGGAAATATTTGCAACAGAAATATCTGAAAAAAGGATGGTCATACAAATATAT